GCACCCACCATAGGTTCTTAAGGCCTTTTAGAAAATATGGTGTTGCTCCTTTGGCTACATGCAAAATCTACAAGAAAAATGATGTTGTGGACATCAAGGGAATGGGTACTGCTCAAAAAGGAATGCCCCACAAATGTCACATGGCAAAGTGACATCAGTATTGATAGCCAGCATGCTGCCGGCATTGTTACAAACAAACAAGTTCAGGGCAAGATTCTTGCCAAGAGAATTAATGTACATATTAAGTATATTAAGCACACGAAGAGCCAAGACAGTTTCCTGACACACATGAAGAGAAATGATCAGAAAAAGAAAAAAGCCAAAGAGAAAGGTGCCTGGGTTCAGCTAAAGTGCCAGCCTTCTACACCCAGAGAAGCACACTTGTGAGACCCAGTGGGAAGGAGCCTGAGCTGCTGGAACCTATTCCTAAGAATTCATGGTATAATAGGTGTCAAAAAAGTAAAAGACCTCTGGAGTGTAAAAAAAAAAAAAAAAAAAAAGGTTACATGTGATTAATGGCTACTGTATTAGACGATGCAGCTCTGAATCAGTGATTCTCAAATTTTGCTTTACATTACATTAGAACCACCTGCAGGACTTGTGAAAACAGATTCCTGAGCCCATACTCAGAGCTTCTGATTCAGTAGCTCTGGGTAGTGCCTGAGAGTTTACATTTCTAAGTTCCCAGGTGATGCTGATGATGTTGGTCTGGGGACACTTTGAGAACCACTGATCTAGACAGTATTCTGATTCCAAAGAACTGTGGCATATTGAACAAATCACTTTATGTCTCAGGTGTTGGTTTTCTTATCTTTAAACAGAATGGCAGCCTAGACTTTGGAGACAGATAGATATGGATTCAAGTTCCTGCTTCTCCATTAATTAGCTGTATGACCTTGAACAATTATTCAACTTCTCTGCTCCATCCACAAAATGGAAATAACAGTACATACCAAGAGGGTAATTACAAAGATTAAATGTGATAAGGTATAAGTGTACATACCATTTAGTATGTTTTTTAAGGGTCATTTCCTGCTAATAAGTGTATTAAGTGAAATTATATATGTGAACAGTAACTTGCACACACCCAGAAATAAGCATTTTTACAACACAATTCTGTCTGGATTCCCCAGTTCCGGCATATCAGTTATCTATTGCTGTGTAGAACAAATTACCCCCAAACTGAGTGACTTACAACAACAAATATTTATTATCTCACAGTTGCTGTGGGTCAGAAATGTGGTCAGGGCTTAGCTGGATGGCTCTGGCTCAGCGTCTCTCATGAGGTTGTAGTGAACTTGCTGGGGCTACGGTCTCATCAGAAGGCTCAACTAGGGGCTTGGGGGATCCACTTCTTTTTCGGTTCCTTTTTTTATTGTGGTAAGACATATACAAAATTTACCATCATAGCCATTTTAAGTGTACAATTCAGTGGCAGTAAGCACATTCTCATGTTGTTCATCAGTTGATAGGCCTTTTGACTAGTGTGAACAATAATGCTATAAACATGGATGTACATATATCTGAGTCCCTGATTTCACTTCTTTTGAGTAGGGGGATGCACTTCTACGCTCATTCACATGATTGTTGGAAAGTGTAAGCTCATTTGGGGGCTACTGGACCAAGGGCCTCAGTCCCTGACCACACCACACGGCCCACTCAAAAGATTGCTTGCAACATGGCAGCTTGCTTCCACCAGGGTGAGTAATGACAGAGAGAACAGGTCTTTTGTAACCTAATTTCAGAAGTGACAAGCCATCACTTCTACCATTCTCTTCATGGAAGCAAGTCCAGCACATAATCAAGAGGAGGAGATTACTCGAGGGGAGTAGATTACACAAGGTAGTGAATACCAGGAGGTGGGGGTCACTGGGAGATGTCGTAGAGACTGCCTACCACAGCCAGAATCTTGACTCTAATGGTCAAGTGGGCATGCGGTGCAGGTATCTATATAAAAGGATACCTAGAAAGGTCCTTGAACTCTAGATTTATGTGGATGACAACATAAATTTTTGAGATTAACTGAACCAAAAGCTCAGAATGAGAAATATAATCTATCATTCATTTTCATAAATATAATTCTATACAGTTAATGCCACTGTTTAATGGGATTCTGAATTCACCTGCCAGTTTGTCCTCACTGCAGAGCTGATGATTGTGGGCACACAACGCACGTCTTTGGTGTCAGCCCAGCCCAGCCCAAAAGGCCTTTCCAGTTTATACCTCAAATGCCAGTGGCCATTGGGGCTGCAGCACCACACATTCCAGATCTCACTTCCCACTTGAACACTGGGCTCTGCACCCTCAGCTTCCGACTGGAGCTTACCTTTACCCCAGCTCTGATGCCACCCTTACCGACCCTCTCAGTGCTGGCCCCTGCAGTGGACTCGCCTCACTCCGGCCTTGGGCCTGGGGAAGACCTGCCTGCCCCAGTTAGAAGACTAAGTTGCCTGGGGTCCTACCAAGCCCTTCTCCACATTCAGGGATTGTCCCCATTCTTGTCCTGTCTCTACATTTCTCCTCATGCTCCTACATTTCTTCTGTTCTCCTATGTCTCAGGCTGGGATATCACCTTCTTTGAAGGTTAGAGTCACTTTCCAAATGTGGTCCCAGCAGATAATGGAACACCGTGGACTAAAACATGAACTCCATATGCAGTCTATGTCACATCACCCACATCTCCCCTCTCACACCCCATTTTTCACTATTTGATGCCCAATACTGCATAAAGTACTTGAGTATTTTGAAAATTATAAATCAGCTTCCTCTTTTAAATTATCAAAATATCCATTCAGCAGACAAGAAAACTAAGACTCGGAGAGGTTAAGAGAATCACACAAGGGCACACCCCTAGAAGAGGGTAGTGACAGAAAAACCCCATATAGTTACTGCTGAGTCTCCAGAATGTCATGAACAGTTCGTGATTTTTTTTTTCAGGCTGAAAGCCTAGTGGGATAATCAAAATTTATATGGAGCCATCTTTTCTGTTCTGTTCTATACTTACCCACCACAACCTATCTCCCAATGTACAGAGCCAAAGTCCACTCCTATGACAGCCCAAGCACAGGAGATGAAATGCCTGTGACCCTACAGTCTTGTGGCACCAACTGACCCCACCTCCTAGGCCTCCATTGGTACAACCAGAGGAAGACTTCTGACCACAAGTGAAGCTAAGAAGATTGCCTCTTTAGGTATTTGGAATTGGGGCACTAAAAAGCAAAGGTAGTCAGACAGCAGAAAGTTAAGGTCTTAGAAAGATGGGGCTGGAGCCGGTGGCCTAGCAAATCAGTTATGTTGGAAGCCAGGACGCGTCTTCAGACATAGAATAGTAACTGGTTAAGCTCCAGGACAAAGGAAATAGGCCGCCTGGCTTGAATCGTGCCTCCCACTTATTAGCTGTAGGATTTAGGGCAAGTTGCTGAACCTTTAGGTGACTTAGTTTTTGCATCTGACAAATAGGGAAACAAATAGTATTTAACTCAAGTACTTGTTATTAAAATGAAATGAATTCACACACACAGGGGATGGGCACACGCTCAGGAACTGCCAGCTGCCGTCATTCCAGAGGCAATGACGTTCCAGTTCCCAGAGGACCTGCCAGGACTTCAGCACTTTATTTCAACCATCAGAGTGTTTCCACAGAAAGCAAAGAGGAGGTGGCCTAGCAAATCAGTTATGTTGGAAGCCAGGACGCGTCTTCAGACATAGAATAGTAACTGGTTAAGCTCCAGGACAAAGGAAATAGGCTGCCTGGCTTGAATCGTGCCTCCCACTTATTAGCTGTAGGATTTAGGGCAAGTTGCTGAACCTTTAGGTGACTTAGTTTTTGCATCTGACAAATAGGGAAACAAATAGTATTTAACTCAAGTACTTGTTATTAAAATGAAATGAATTCACACACACAGGGGATGGGCACACGCTCAGGAACTGCCAGCTGCCGTCATTCCAGAGGCAATGACGTTCCAGTTCCCAGAGGACCTGCCAGGACTTCAGCACTTTATTTCAACCATCAGAGTGTTTCCACAGAAAGCAAAGAGGAAGGGTTCCTACCGCATTTTACCTAACTTAGTTTTCGCCTCACACTAAAAGACTTTTAAATTTAAAAATCATACACCATGTTTATTTGGAAATTTTATTCTTTTTATTGCAAATTTCTGGTAAAGGAAAGAACACGGAGGCTGATTCTCATTGAAACTTTGGTGAGAAGAGCACTACACTGTAGCTCGGTGGCCACCCCCTCGGCTGCACACGCCATCACCTGGGGGCCTCTGACATGCACTGATGCCTGCGTCCAGCCTCCCAGAGGTTCTGATTTAATTGGTCTGGGGGCAAATGGGCATCAGTAGCTTTTTAAACTCCCCCAGGTGATTCCAACGCATAGCCAAGGTGGAGAACCCCTGCGGGAGCTCATTAACTTGAGGCTGGCCACATCAGAAGCACCTGAGAAATTCAGCTGACAACTGAGTGTCACCCACTTACATCACCCCCTGGGCCACCTGGTGTCCCCTGTCACCGTCTTCTCAGGTCAAATGTGCTGATGCTTCCTCCTCGGAGCCCCTAGAGAAGAGAGATGCTGGAGGGGGCGTGGCTCTCTGCACTGTGGCTTGCACTTAAATGTGGAGAACTACATGGAACCTGCTTACTCTATCACAAAAAGAAATTCATTTTCTGATTGCAAAAGAGCATTAACCTTTTTTTTTTCTTTAAGTGGAAATAGTCTTATATAGAGATAAAAAGATTAGTGACAAATAAGGAAGTATGTATTGGATGACATATTCCTTGTATAACTTCTCACGTCCAAAATTTAAAAAAACTTTTTCGTCAAGCCATTGAGAGTAAAACATTATGTACTTTAGCAGCATATTTTTTTATGGGTAAACAGTAATAGCCAGTTAGATATTACATTTATGATTTATCCTAAAAATAGAAAATGCTTTTATTTACCTGAGTCCTTGGCAAACAAAAAAAAAAAAGTTGTTTTTGTTTTTATTTTTTTTTTAATTTTTTTAAGTTTTCCTGTTCTTTTTCCTGGGACACCTTCACAGTTTAGAATGGTGTGTCTCACTATCAGTCTTTACGTACATAGCTGAACAAACAACACTGGTGCCAATATTCAATGACTAATCAAATCTGGCGATTGAAAATAAAACACCCATCATCTACAGAGTTGCTCAAGATGAAAGTTTTTTGACAGTGTTATAAATGCAATATCAATTTGATTCTTTGTCCATACAAAAGTATGAATTCCTATTCTATTAATAATACCGAATGATTAATGTCTTAACAGTGATAAAATTTTTAGAACATTTAAAAAATACATAGGATCCCATTTTTACATCATAATTCTGCTGAATTATCATGCCTTCTATTTTGTCCGCAAAACTTTTATAGGTACAGTGCATTGACATGATAAAACCAAGGCACAAGAATACAGTTACAATAAGTGTATATAAACTCTAGCACTTTGTGCCAATTTCAAAAACATTTAGAGAGATCATAAAGTCTGAAAAATTATCACATTCTATTATGATTAATGAACAATTAACTGTGCAATAAACAGACTGTTAACCACCATTTCGTTATTAAATATATGGCTATCACTATACAGGCTGTGGATAATTCAAAAATAGTTTTAAATATTAAAACCCGGTATACCTAGGTGGTCAACGTACATATTGTGCCTTGCATTATCTAGACAATTGTCTTAAGTTTCCACTTAATTTGCAATCTATATGGCAGTTATCAATTTTTTAACTATCTTCATTACATAAATGATGGAGTTTTTTCAGTGTTAAATCCCTTCCCCCTACAAAAGACAGAAGATTTACAGGAAATAACCAATATAAGAAATGCACAAACAACAATAAAATCCAAATGTGGACTCAAAGGCTGAATTCTAATCTAAGGGGACATTCTCTTAATTTGGAATGAGGAGCAACACATTCCTGTGACAACTCATTCATTTCTTAATTTAAAAAAAAATCACCATGACATTTTTCAAAATAGTAAATAAATAGTCTTGGCTAGAGCATCAAGCATTGAAGAAAAATGGTTAGGTCTTTTGATTCATAAAATGAAGAAGATAAAAGCCTTTCAAAATACAGGGGGTGGATAGGAATTCCAGTGAATTTAGAGAAGTGAAATAAACTGGTAAAAATGGTAGTTAATACTTTTACAGAAGAGTGTTTTCAAGACTCCAGGTAAACATTTAGACCCATGAAAACACATTTCTTGGTACATGCACGCCATGGATGGAACAATCCTGAATACAGCGATGGCCTGGCTACAGAGGTGTCAACTCCCAGCCCCACTGCCAATGCCTTCTTTTAGGTCCTTGTCCCGACTGCCTTCACATGGGAGCTTCTGGCTTCTGCATCTGTTGGATTTGCTTCTGTAGCTGGTCCTTGTCTAGCTTCATCTTGGCCTCCAGAACTTGCCTGAGGGATCCTATGCTTTCATAGATGGCTGTAAACCCTTTAAGAAGAGGTAAATTTCACAAGAGTTAATATTAAAAAAACAATGCTGTATCAAATTCTGTAGCATCTAGTAGTAGTTGATTCTGGCAAAAATCATCAGTAGATACGAGAACCCCTGGGGTAAAATTTGATGGGAAGAAGGAGGGTTACATAGTCTCATAGCTCCCTGGAGACGACTTTTTAATTACAAAGGGGGAAAAGTAACTATTAGAATGAAGAAATCTGGCAGATACCACTTTAACCAAGTGATCACAGTTAAGGTCACTAATACGGAGAGAAATAAACACCAGGTACCTCCTAAGATACCCTGGGCAGGACACAACATCACTTCTGTGGCATTTCTGTCCAAAATGCATAACTTGAATCATACCAAGAGGAAACAGACAAACCCAAACGGAGGGACACTCTACAAAATACTGGCCTATATTCTTTAAAAATGCCAAGATTACCGAGGGACTGATCCAGATTAAAGAGACTCAATAAAGAAACATAACAAAATATGAGGTGTGATTCTGGATTAGAACCTGAATGGCCAATGGATATGTAACAAGGTGCTCAACATCACTCATCATCAGGGAAATGCAAATCAAAACTGCAAGGAGATATCACCTCACATCTGTTAGGATGGCTATTATCAAAAAGTCTCGGAGACGGTATGGAGAAAAGGGAGCCCTCGTTCACTGTTGGTGGGAATGTGGAAACAGTGTGGAGGTTCCCAAGTAAATTGACCAGTAGATCTGATAAAAATGTGGGAGCATACCAAAAGAAAATATTTGCCCACAGTGTAAAATAAGCCCACAAAAGCCCCTCCAAGATATACACTAGTTTCCGAGACATATGGAACTTGGCTATGAACAGAAAAGAATCAGCAGGTGGCACTAAAAAATCCGTGCATCAACTGATGTGCGTCAGGTGCAAGCTAAGCAATTTTAGTGTCGTGTGCCAGCCCCTCTTGGTGGCTCTTCATATACTTGGAATCCAAACAGCATTTTAGTTCAATGGAAAGTCAACTAAGGACATTTCACTGTTCCTACCCTTAGCCGGGTCCACAGGTACGCGTAGGGGATAAGAATCAACAGGTCTTCAGATCAAACAGAGAATACACAGCGTGCGCTGCGCTGCCTGTGGCCTACCCGCATTAACTTCTGCTTTCATTTCCTTCATGTCCTCACTCATCTGTAGCTCCAGCTTGCTGATTCGCCCGTGCACCTTCTCCTCTTCTTGCTTCGTTCTCTGCCCTTCCATAGTCTTCTTTTGACTCTCTTCTATTCTGTCAAGTCTGGCTGACATCTGGCTGAGCTTCTTCTCCATGTCCCTTTCACTAGCTCCCTGAGATCCATGATAAGAATTGCACTTGATTACTCCAAAAAGAAAGCCCGCATTGTATTCACATCAGCCACAATATCATTTAACAGCAATCTGCAGGGAACAGAATCGCAAGAGCAGCTTGTTTCCCACCCCAATATCCAGTCTCCCTTTCTTCCTTAACAGACCCCCCAATCTTCAGCTGGATACAAAGTCATCCAGAATAAAGACTACATGTTCCACTGTCTCCTGAGTCTGGTGTGGCTATGTGATTAAGTTCTACCCAATGAAATGTAAGCACAAGTGTATGTGGTAGCTTTAAGAAAAAATTAAAAGACATGTGAAGTATATCCTTCCTCCTTCCTTCTTCCTCTGTTCCTGGAATTCAGACGTAATGGCTGGAGCTCCTGCTGCCATCTTGAGTTATGAGGATGAGGCTCACTCTCTAGGACTGGCAAAAAGTTAAACTAGATGACTCTTGGGTCACTGAAGACTGACACACTATCACATCAGTTCTGCCTTACTACACCCAAACTTCTTTTACGTGTAACAGAAATAAGCTTCTGTTTTATTAAAGCCACCATTATCCTGGGGTTTACTGTTAATTATTAAACCAATCCACATGTAAAAATAAACAGTAATCCAAAGACCCAGAAACCTACAAATATATTAGTATAAATCTAAGTAAATCAACCAGTAGATCTGATGAAAATACAGAATACTAAAAACAAATTTTGACATATTAAATATTATCTTTCCATTCCTTTCCACCATGCTTGGTTGTAACGGGAATCTGTGTCTGCAGGTGAGCTTTGGAGGCCAGGACTACAAACACCAAGCTGTAAGTGGGCTGTGGCATGACAAAGCTCTTTTAATGGTGCACAGCCTACAATTTAACAGCTCCATTATCTGGAGAAAGCAGAGTTGGAGATACAAACTGCACCAGCCAGCCACTTCTGCTCAAAGTCCCACAGGAGGAAGCAGTGCAAGAAAAGAGAAGGGAGAGGAAAATGGTCATGCTAAATAACCAAAACCAACAAAAATTTGCTTGCCAAGTACCAGTTTCAGAGCCTACTGATCTTGAACACTATATATGCAAGACTTCCTTGATATGGTTTTTAGCAGTTCTGCAAACCTTAGCTCTGTGAGAGTCTGGGATAAAAGGAGGAGGAAGATGGAAAAGAAAATAGTGGATTCTGTGTACATGCCACACTGTGATACCTCATACTATAGGTACTGTGTAACGGAGGGGTCTGGAAGGAGAAATCTACTCAACACTAGTAAAAAGCAAAACCAGATCATGAAACTAAAACAAACAGGGATGAAGGTAGTAACTGCTAGTTTTATTTAGAAATGCAGATGGACAATTTGGATCATTAAAGTCTTCACTTAAATTTGTCTTAATTGAAAATACTGAAATTTTCTACTTAGCCTTTGTTAACTAAAACAAGTCAAAGTGCTCTATCTATTAAAAAATACAAAGAATCAATATGCACTATGGAAGTGGATTCTAGAGCAAGAAACAATTGAACAGCTTTAGGAGTTGCCAAATAAATCAGTGATAAGTTACTAGGTATTAGTCAGACATTGTAGGCCCCCACTGAAGAACTTTTCTAAATCATTGCTAAACATCAATACCTACACTGTTTTCCTTAACAATCAAAGAAAGCTGATCAATTTTCTGTAAAAGTTCTTTTTCTATCCGTTCTTGTTCCTGCTGCAACCAACTCCGTGCAGATAAAATCTGGTTACTGAGTTCCTCAACTGTACCTTTAAATCTAAAAAATGAAAATTAGCAAGTTAGATGTAGACAGTTTTTTAAATTACATCAAACAACCTCAATTTCCAACTATCAAATTTCTGATAAATATGCCAGCATTGAACTCAGCTCAATCAGAATTACATGCTTACCTTTTCTTAGAGTTGCACTTAGCACTAAGTTGGGCAGGGGGAAAGGCAGGAGGACACAACAGAAAAGCATCCGATGGTACTTCCTACCTGTGAAGAGCTGGCGGTGTGGGCACTGGGGTGACACAGTGACACAGAGCTGTGCCAGGTGCTAACCTTTGCAGTTCCGAGGGCCCATGGTGCTCCTGGCTCAGAGGACTAGTGTCCCCATCTCTTCTTCCAGCCTCTCCTACTTCCCTGGGCTCTTCCTCCTTGTCCCTGTTATCTCCCAGGACTGGAGCCTGGATCCCTTTCTAATGTTCCCCAAATTGCTCTTGCCCCATGTGGATATTTCCTAATTTAAATCAAAAGGAAAATTGAAAGAAAATAGAAACCCTTCCAACCCTCCATTCCTTTAGTCCTTTCCCTTTCCAAATTCCTTAAAATAACTATTCATACATGTTTCTTCTCCTTAATTATTTTTTCTTATTTTTCTTATGACATGTAATAAAAGTACAGAAGAATATATATAATGTTATGCAATTTAAATAATATTAATAATAACATGAACATCTACTGTGTTAGTAGAGCCACTAACTGTCCTGCAATACCTATTCTTCTCCTCTTCCTTATTAAGAAGCCCTCAAATGTCCACTGGGTACAAGGCTGCCTCGCCAGAGACTACATTTCCTCAGTCTCCCTTGCAGCTAGGTGTGACCACGAGACTAAGTTGGACAGTGGGACACGTATGGAAGTGATAAGCACACTTCCTGGTCACATCTTTTAAAACAAAGCTTCCACCCTGGTTTCTCTCCCTGTCCCAGCTGACCGGGAAGGGGCAAGGACTGGAGCAACGGAGAAGCCATATAGAGTGATCAGTGCTGCCGCCTGTGCTGGACCACTGCTCTCTGCACTGCTATGTGAGAGCCACAGCACTGCAGCTAGCCTGCACCCGAACTGATACAGCTGTGTACCCCAGCCAGGTTAAGACGCAGAACATTCCCAGGACCTTAGAACCCCCAGTTGTACTCCTGATCGCACCACCCCCCAGGAAGTAACCATGAACTGGAATTTACTCCTCTTTATCATTTTACTCTATTGTTTTCAATCCCAAAACAACATATTTTTCAGCAGTGCATATTTCTAAACTTTATATAAATAGAGCAATAATACAGTGTGAGTTTTCTACAACTTCTTTTTTTACTTCGTATTATGTCTGTGAGATTCATCCGTGCTGGTGTGTATAACTAGCTAATTCATTTTCATTGTGGAGTAATATTCCGTCTTAGGAATATACCACAATTTATCCATTCTTCTGTTGGTGGGCATTTGTTTGGGTTTGTTTTTATCCACCTCTGCTATCAGAATAATACTGTTATGAAAAACTGACACATAGCTCCTAGTTCAGATGTACAAGAGATATTATGTCTGTGAGATTCATCCGTGCTGGTGTGTATAACTAGCTAACTCATTTTCATTGTGGAGTAATATTCCGTCTTAGGAATATACCACAGTTTATCCATTCTTCTGTTGGTGGGCATTTGTTTGGGTTTGTTTTTATCCACCTTTGCTATCAGAATAATACTGTTATGAAAAACTGACACATAGCTCCTAGTTCAGATGTACAAGAGTTTCTCTAGGGTGTGAACACATCTGACTTTACCAGAAACCCCCAGGTTGTTTTCCAGAGTGACTGTACTACTTGACATTGCATTTGGTGGTATAAAGAGGTCCCATTATCCACATCCTCGCCAACACTTTTGCATATCTGATGTGAATTTTTATCCTCTGATTTTTCTAACATTTGGAAATTATACACTCATTTAATTGTTAGAATAGAAATTTTAATATGCACATTTATCAAAGTCTAAAGTTATTCAATATCTGTAATTTGATCCTGAAAAACTTCTTAGAACACTTCAATTTCAGAAACCTTCCTCCTAACTTATGTGTGATTATTGACCAACAGTTTAGTTCCATAGTGTTTTTACACTCTATAAATTAGACGTTATTATTATGTTTGTTTAGATTTACCCAGTGTTCATCATATTCTTTGCTCATCCTTTCTTCTTATACAGTATTTAAGACCTTCCTTTCCCTTTTTCCTGAAGTCTATCTTTCGAAAATTCGTTTAGAAAAGGTTTATTAGTAAACTTTCAGTTCTTATTTCTCTGAAATACCTTTATTTGTCACTGGGTTGCCAATTCTTCTCTCTCAGCATCTGGAGGTCTTAGACCATCTTCTTCCAGTCCTTATTAATACTGTAGANAGATTTACCCAGTGTTCATCATATTCTTTGCTCATCCTTTCTTCTTATACAGTATTTAAGACCTTCCTTTCCCTTTTTCCTGAAGTCTATCTTTCGAAAATTCGTTTAGAAAAGGTTTATTAGTAAACTTTCAGTTCTTATTTCTCTGAAATACCTTTATTTGTCACTGGGTTGCCAATTCTCTCTCAGCATCTGGAGGTCTTAGACCATCTTCTTCCAGTCCTTATTAATACTGTAGAGAAATCTGCATTGGTCTAATTTCTCTCTCTGCTTTAAGATCTATACATGTTTGGCATTCTGCAGTTTTACTCTGATGTGCCTAGACTTGATTTATTACTTATTCTCCTGGAATGTATTTGGCTTTCTAAATGTGAGATTCATCTTTCATCAATTCTGTATAATCATCTGCCATTATCTCCTTAGATATATTTCTCCTGTACTCCTTCCATTATCTCCTCATAGAATTCTGATTAGGCATAGGTTAGGCTTTCTCACTCTATCCTCTTATATTTGTTTTCTATTCTTGTCACAAAAAATTACCACAAATCTAGCAACTTAGAAGAGCACAAATTTATAATCTCACAGTTCTGTAGATCAAAAATCCAGGTAGCTCAGCTAAGCTCTGCTCAGGTATCACAAGGCCAAAATCAAGCCATCAGTCCAGCTGCTCCTTACTAGAGGTGGTGGGCGAGAATCTACCCAAGCTCATTTGAGCTGTTGGTCAAAGTCACAGCTGCTTGTAGTGGGTTAAATAGTGGCCCCCAAAAAGATACACCCACATTCTAACCCCCAGAACCTGTGTAATGTGACCTTATTTGGAAAAAGTGTCTTTGTAGATGAAATTAAGGATCTCGAGATAAGGTCATCCTGGATGATCTGGATGAGCCCTAAATCCAGTGACTGGTGTTCTTATAGGAGACACACATGGAGGAGAGACACACAGAGAGAAGAGGAAAAGGCCATATGAAGACAGAGGCAGAGACTGAAGCGAGACGGCCATCAGAAACTGGAAGAAGCAAGCAAACACTCATCCCTAGAGCCTCAGAGGGAGCGCAGCCCTGCCAACAGCTTGATTTCAGACTTCTGGCCTCCAGAACTGTGAGGATAAACTTCTGTTGTTTTAAGTCACCCACAGTGTGGTAATATGTTACAGCAGCCCTAGCAAATTACTGCACTGCTGTATGACTGATTTCCCTGTCTCCTTGCCAGCTGTCAGCCAGGCGTCATTCTCAGCTTCGACAGGCTGCCTGCATCTTTGGCTCGTGGCCCCTTCCTCCATCTTCAAAGCCAGCAATGGTGGGTTGAGTCCTTCACATGCTTCACATCCCTCTTCTGCCTCATCACTCTGACCTCAGCATTCAAGGGGTCATCTAATTAGATTGGGCCCATCCAATTTTCCAGAATTCTCTCCTCATCTCAAGGTCTGTAACCTTAACTTGCAAAGTCCATTTTTTGCCATGTGATGTGACACAGTCACAAGTTCCAGAAATTAGAGTGTGGACATCTTTTGAGGGGTGGCATTATTCTGCTTACTCATACTCCTATGACTCTTAATCTTTCTTTCATATCTTAACAACTCTGTCTCTTACTAGTCCAATCCAGGTAATTTCTCCAGTTCTCTCCCCCAGTTCACTTACCCTCTCTTCAGCTGTGTAGAATCTGTTGTTTAACCCACATGTTCAGCTTCTATTATTAATTATTATATTTTTTNTTCCACAGGCTGCCTGCATCTTTGGCTCGTGGCCCCTTCCTACATCTTCAAAGCCAGCAATGGTGGGTTGAGTCCTTCGCATGCTTCACATCCCTCTTCTGCCTCATCACTCTGACCTCAGCATTCAAGGGGTCATCTAATTAGATTGGGCCCATCCAATTTTCCAGAATTCTCTCCTCATCTCAAGGTCTGTAACCTTAACTTGCAAAGTCCATTTTTTGCCATGTGATGTGACACAGTCACAAGTTCCAGAAATTAGAGTGTGGACATCTTTTGAGGGGTGGCATTATTCTGCTTACTCATACTCCTATGACTCTTAATGTTTCTTTCATATCTTAACAACTCTGTCTCTTACTAGTCCAATCCAGGTAATTTCTCCAGTTCTCTCCCCCAGTTCACTTATCCTCTCTTCAGCTGTGTAGAATCTGTTGTTTAACCCACATGTTCAGCTTCTATTATTAATTATTATATTTTTCTAGACGTTCTATTTGGTTGGTTTTCAATTCTGCCTGGTCATTTTTGATAATCTCTTGTTCCTTTTTACACTTTCAAAATACATGTGTGTATATACGCACACAGACATACATATACATACAAATACACAGACATATACACACACACATTTATTTTATCCAATAATTCTTATATCTGCTCTATTTAGAGGTCTGATTCTGTTTTTTATTCTTCTGACTCTATCACTTCTGTGGCTTTATTTCCTTGAGTGTCTTGCAATTTTTGATTATATATTCATGTTCCTTAGAACTTTATCTGTGGAAGGACTTGAAGACTCAGCTTTTGCTTCTGCCAGAAACCTTAGGGTACTCCCAAATCAGGATAATTTTAAGATAAACAATCCACTGTAGTAATGTGAAGTCTAGCTCTAAATCCATATAAGGATTGGACTGTGGTCCTGAATTCTCAAGGAATTCCTTTTACGCCTCTACACAGAACCAAGATTTAGACAGGCAAGTTTCCTTATGACCTCTTTGTAGAATGGATTTTTTCCTGGTTCATCCAACTAGGGTGCCACCTTTTGGGTCTCCAACCTGACCTTCAACCTCACATAGGTCCCAGGTTTTGTTTCCTGTCCTCTGTGAATAGCCTTTATGTTTAGAATTCTAGACTTGAAACTGTAGGAAGAAAAGTAAAGATATTCATGTCTGTTGACCTAGTAATATCTCCTAAAAAAATTAATCACAGAACAAATACTAAGATGTTTATTTCCTGCATAATAGAAGGAACATCAGAAACTTTTCTGTACTTGGCAAGCTTGTAGGATCTATGAGAAATGGGGATGTAACTCAATAATTATGTAAATACACATAATCAGAAGAAAGGAAATATGGCTTTCATAAGAGAATTTCTGTTAAATTGGCAACATCCCTGAAATGGCATCAAATATGGAGGTAATGAGATATAAGAGCCAAGAGAGTGATTAATTTAAACTTTTCACAAGTCTCTAACAAAGTTCTATATGAAAGTCCTTTTTAAAAAATATATTAAGTCAAATATATACATATAAATATATACATATATTTGACTTAATATATTTAAGTCAATATATTTAAGTGTGTGTGTGTGTATATATATATATATGTATATATATATATATATATGTATACACACACACATGCACACATAATCACCACTGGCTCTGTCTTGGCAGGAAAATGCCAAGTTCATGAAGCTTCATGACAAGAAAAGGTGTAGGGCTTTGTGACTGGGCAGAAGAGCAGATGAGTTTCCCTGTGGGCAAGTACAGATGTAAAGCGTCACAGTAACAAACTGGGAAAGTAAATTATACTGCACTAACCGAGGTATCTCAAAACCCCCCTAGACTACTGCCACAAAATGCCCCCTGACCGATCTCCCCATCTCCATTTGTGCCCCCATGTGGTCCACTTTCTAACTGCAATGAAGGTGATTTAAAAAAATATCTAAATCTGATTGTATCACCCCATCTGTTTAAAATCCTCCAGTGGCTTCCTGTTGCTCGAAGAATAGCAACAAAAAGTCCTGAATGTAGTCTATGAGGCCCTGCAAGCTGGCCTGCCTCCTCTCCAGCCTCACATCCCGCCACTTCATTCTCATTCTCTGGTCCATACACCCTTGCCGTCTTTCAGCTTCTTGTGTGCCACACGCCTCCCACGACAGGCCATTCCATCTCATTTGTGGCCATCCTACTCTTTACACAGCAAAACCCACTCATTCTTCAGCTCTCAACTCAAAACATTTATTCCTTCCTCAAGAAGGCCCCACAAGCAGGCCTCTGCTACTCACGCTCATACCACTACTGTGGTAGTTTCCAGTGCCTGCTGTGTCAAATTATCACCAACTTGGTGGCTTAAAAGAACACAAATGTGTTCTCTTACTGTTCCGGGAGCTAGAAGTCTAAAATAGGTTTCACTAGGGTAAAGTCAAGGTGTCTGCAGTTGTGGTTCCTCCTGGAGGGCCTTGGGGGGGAATTGTTTCCTTGCCTTTTATAAGTTCTAGTGGCCACCCTCATTCCTTGGCTTATAACCCTCCCTCTGTCCTCAAAGCGTATCACTTCAACCCTGGCTTCTCGTCACAAGGCCTTCTCTCTTGACTCTGATCTCCCTGCCTCCCTCAGATCAGGACTCTAGTGATTACATCAGGCTTACACAGATAACTCGGGATAGTCTACCTATTTTAAGATCCTTGACTTAATCATATCTGCAAAGTCCCTTTTCGCCATACATGGTAACATATTCACAAGTTCTGGGGATTAGGACATAGAGAGATGTGGGGGACCACTATTCAGCCTACCACAACCATCTACCTTTTCATCAAAGCACTTATCAGCATTAGTAATAATATAGCATATGCTTATTTAAATCATTATTTGATTAATAATCATCAGCTTTCTAGACTGCAAGCTCAACAGGATAAGAACAGAGTCTGTTTTTTGTTCACTACTGGATCCTGAGCCCCTAGGCCAGTGCTCAATACATATCTGTTGCATGAATAGATGGATTATTATCCAACCACTAAAGACAATAATTATGAACGTAAAGTGCCAACATGCTATATGGGAACTTTTCCTTTTAAATTCCATTATTGTTTCACTTCATGCAACAAATAAAAACCAAGAGGAAAAAAAATGCAGTATTGCATAAACTCATAAAGAACTTCAACCAAAACACTTTTTTATAAATTGAGTACTTACTTAGTATCCAAAAGCTGAAGCTGATGGTTACTATCTCTGTGGGACATCTTCAGTTTGGTGCTCTGCTCTGATATTGACAAGTCAACTCTGTTCAAAAGCTGAGAAATCTGGAAAAGAAACCTTGCTTATAAATTTCATATCTAACCCCTTCAGATATAATTTCAGAAAACATTTGGTAAGCCATATTCCAGTCCATGGCATTAAGATTTGATCTAATTTAATAGATTCATCTAGGAGTTCGTGTCATTTCTCCACCTCCATTTTCTTTCATACACACCAGTAGCACTGCCAAAATATTCACCGTGCACTGAGCACTTAACTTAACAGTTCTCTGATGAGCAAGCCCAGCTCCTGCCTGGGACCATACTTTCACCAGCTTGCACGAAATACAGTCATCTTTACCTTGGAATTTCTACCATCAGTGTGGCTCCTTCCTACACACAGAAAATGGAATTTTCATCATTTACGAAACCCTTCAAGGTCCAGATTTGCCTCCATATCAAATCAAGTCATCAATAAATATAATTTGTAGCCTAAACCCTCCTGCTCCTTTTTCCCACTAACTACCCATTTCCCTTTTATTTTACTAAAATTTAATATAAAACTAGCCCTGTGTGAAATGTTTTCATTTTCTGCAAAAATTATGATGTTCAATGTTCCTTACTTAAACATTCATGGTATATGTCAGAGCCAGAAAAAAGTAGTTTGTCTCTTTTAATAAATTTCTTTATATATTTTACTTGGCTTGGCCACAAGGGAAGCTTAAGATTTCCTTAGCTTCTATTTCCTGGTATAATGCCATCCTCACTCATTTTTCAAAAAAAAAAAAATTATTAGACTTTTTTTTTCATAGTTTTATAATAACTGTATTTTTCATATAAGAAGGTTTAGATCCTTATTGGGCGTAATTAGTATATAAGTATTTTTATCTAATAAATTGACCAGACGTCCCTGTTTCAGTGAAATAGTATCTCTTCAAATGAAGAATAGCAAATAAGGCAGATACTGTGGAAAAGTCCTAGAAGACAGGCCCTATTACGGCAAAGAGAAACTTATAAAGGGCCAAAAAACAACCTCAGATGCCAGGAGCTTTGCTTTGTGAAATCGATCTGTGAATTTCAAGGTAGAATGCCCTGAAATTCATTAGCCAGCCTACCCACTACCTTTGTCCTAATTTTGTGCTGTGTATAGACTACGTGATGGGGTAGCACAAATGAGTCTCACTGATTACAGCAACGATTTCCTGAACCAAAAATTGGGATGAGTGGCATGTAAAAGAATGCTGGATCACTTACCTGTGCAAGTTTTGGAGATATAACATAGAGTTTCTAGAATATATTGTTTTAGGAATGAGGGGAAAGAACCTTTACAATTAGGACTGTATACAAAAAATCTTGGTGGTTTGGTTGCCAGACACAGGAAGGGCCACTCCAGTGAAACAGACGGAAGGAAGAAGTAAAGAAAAAAAGATGTTTATGATTTGCATAAACCCATGCTGGGTGTCCCAGCTGGTTTCTCCCGTAAGAAATAATCAACACCCTGTTATTCTTAGCTGAGAACAAACTACCCACTTTTAAAAGCCACCAGAAACAGGTCATACCTGTCCCTCTGCATCTTTGATTTTTGTTTCCAAGATAAGTTTAGCAGCTTGCTGTTCTTTGTTCAAGTGCTGGAGCCCCTCATAGGTCGTTTTGTGCTCTGCGGACAGTCTTGCTATGCTGGCGTCACATCTGTCGAGGCAAACAGCAAAGCTAATTCTTTGCTAAGCTAATTCTTTTCTAAGTTTAAAAACATGCTCAAAAGCTTCCAGCCCCTCATAGGTCGTTTTGTGCTCTGCGGACAGTCTTGCTATGCTGGCGTCACATCTGTCAAGGCAAACAGCAAAGCTAATTCTTTGCTAAGCTAATTCTTTTCTAAGTTTAAAAACATGCTCAAAAGCTTCCCTATATACACTAATATGCAAAACCCCACTCAAAGAAACTGCACTAATGACATTCTTTTTAAACAGAGATTCAAATGGATTCAGAGAGCTGCTCTCATTATGGTTTTTAAGCTAAACCACAGGAATGTGGCTAAATAAGACTAGAGATGTAACCATCAAAGAAGTAAAGTTTTCACAATACCCATGAGTACGTCACTGTATATGAGGTGAGAGCCCAATTACAGAAAACACACCTGCTGTACTGTATGTGGTCTGTAAGTCTTCAGTACCACCCCTGCCCTTTCAGGTTCAGGCCTCCTTGGATTTGAGAGGCAACTTCTACTACATTTGAAAGAATTACTTCTAACCTTTTATCAAATCACCTGTAAGGCTGTATGCTTTGAGTGGGGTATCGAGCAGTTGGTCCAAGCTGTAGCAAAAGCTGCTCTGCTCTGTGGGCCTTACAACTCAGCAGATCCAGTGGTGCTCAGAGTACCTGCAGCAGATAAGCTGTGCATGAAGCCTCTGTCAAGCCCTAACAGGAGAACCACAGAATGGACCCCTAGGAATTTAGAGCAAAGTCAAACCCTGTTCTGAGACAATCATTCTTCCTTTGAGAAGAAGCTGCTGGCTTGCTACTGAATAGAGACTGAATGCCTAAGCATGGGACCCTGCAATCTGGGCAGTCCATCATGAACACCAGGCCATAAAGGTGGGTATATGAGCAGCACTCCATCTTCCAGGGGAAGGGGTATATAGACATCAGGCTTGAGCAGGTTCTAGAGACACAAATAAGTTACAGGAGCCCAGAGTCCTGTGGCATCTACTCCTGCTACTGTGCCAGCTCTCCCTCAACCCACACCTATAGCTTCTTGAAGAGTTCCTGATGACCAGGTGGATGGAGGGAGGACAATTCAGGCCTGGCTTCCAGATGGTCACATCCAATATGCTGGCACCTTCTGGAAGAAGACTGCTGACATTTATAGATCCACTCAAAAGTAGCTCTAACGGGTATCAAGGAAGGAAAAAGTTGGCAGAATTTCAAACAATATAAACAGGGATTCATTTTGCCTGAAATAAGAGATGGTCAGACATTCAAGGGAAGTGACTAAGGGTGAAAGACTTGGAAAAAATAATTGGAAGATTGGTGACAAGGAAAAGAGGTTGTATAAATGGATCACTCATAATTGGCAAAATCTTTTGCTCCTTGTGAATGCTCTCATAGGGGCTGAAGCTCAAAAACTCTACTTCCCAGACTCCCTTGCTAGCAGGGTTCTGAGTTAGATTCCACCAGTGAGAGGCATTTATGCAAGACCTGGAGGGTAGAACAGAAGGAGCGGTGGGCAGACACATGGACAGACTGAGATGAGAGGTCTACAGCCACCACCAGGCACACTCCTTCTTCTGGGCTATAGGAAGCTAAGATGATCAGTGGCTCCTTTTTGTGATTCTTGCATGTCCTGCTGTCCCGAAAGCCAGTAGCAATTTTCCTTCACTTTTCCAGATGCTTCCAATGGTTCTACAAGCTCCAGTTTCCTGTACTAAACCCCTTCCTTCTAACATACTTAGAGCAGTTTCTGTTTTCTTGACTGAACCCTGATGCATATAATCACTGAAATGTTACAGAGAAACGTACAAAATATTAACCAACTATCTCTGGGTCATGTGTGATTTTTTAAATTTTTTAATTCTTTTCTAAATTGTAAACATTTTCTACATTAAGTATGTATGATTTTTATAGTCAGAAAAAACAATAACGCAAACAATATATTTCAATCAACAGCCATGTACAATGAGTGTGTTACAATTTTATGGAATACACACTGCCCTATCATCCCTGCCTAGGCCCCTTATGAAGTAGAAATGAGCCTGGAGTACTAGGAAACCGTAGCTAGAAGCATATGGGACAGAATCAGCGTCACGACAGTGAGGTCTGGTTCAAGGTTATACACAGTAGAAGTGGAGAGGCTGTGGCTGGAATCTCAATCCATAAATCATTTATCCAGTCAATACTATTTATAGAATGTCAGTTTCTTACCTTGTATAAGAAACTATTACACAAAATGGGGATATAGCGGGACCATTTTCTCTCCAATACAAACACTAAACTGTCTATAACTTTTAAGCATCCTTTTCTTTTTTTAAGTTTTTTTCCCCCCTTTTTTTTGGATGGGGGCAGCTGGCTGGTATGGGGATCCAAAGCCCTGACTTTGGTGTTATAAGACTGCCTAAAACATTCTTATGCCACCTCTATCAAAATGTTATTCAGCTTACATGTATATTTTTCTATCGTTGATGAAGACTACATTTGACATCTTGTCCACGTGCATTGCCCCACTGATTGAGACAAATGAGCTCAGAAGATTCAAAAGATAAGGCAACATAAAGACATCCCAGAAAAACGAAAACTGAAAGAATTCATTGCTAACAAATCCACCCAACAAGAAATACCAAAGGAAGTTCTTCAGGCTGAAAACAAGTGCCCCAGACAGTAATTGGAATCCTCATGAAAAACCAGAGGGCACTGGTAAAGGTAATTAATTATAAATTATAAAAGGCAATATAAATGAATACTTCTCCTTTCTTAACTGATTCAAAAAGGAATTGTTTAAAATAATACATATATATTTGTATTGTTGGATCTTTAACAGATAAAAATGTAATGTATTTGATAATAACAGCATGAAGGAGGTGGGTGGGAGCAAAACTGTATTGGGGTAAGGAAACGACAGCAGATGGTAACTTGAATCCACAGGAACAAATGATAAAAACCAGAAATAGCAATAAAAAGGTTAATACAACAAACTCTATAAATATGTACTTATTCTCCTTTCTTCCCTCAGTTTTTTAAAAAAGACATTAACTTATGTAAAGTAATAATTATAACAATATATTATTGGGATTGTAACATACAGATGTAATATGTCAAGAGTAATAGCACAAAAAGAAGAGGCAAGGAATGCAACTATATTGGACTAATGTGTTTATGTCTCACTGGAATTATGTTAGTATAAATCTCAAGTAGATCATGATAAATTAAGAAATGGTATATCTGAATAGACCTATAATAAATAGAGATTAAATTAGTGATTTTAAAACTACCCACAAATAAAAACCCAGGACCAGACAGCTTCACTGATGAGTTCTACCAAACATTTAAAAAAGAATGAATACCAATTTTTCACAAATTCCTCTAAATAAAAGTAATAAACACTTTCCAACTCATTTTATAAAACCAATATTATCATGATACCAAAACCAGACTAAGACATCACATGAAAACTATAGACCAATATCTCTCATGAGTAGAGATGCAAAAATTGTCAATAAATATTAGCAAACTGATCCAGCAATATATAAAAAGGATTATATATCATAACCAAGTGAGATTTATTCCAGGAATGCAAGTTTGGTTTAACATCAGAAAAGCAGTTAATGTAATATACCATATCAATAGAAAAAAGGACAAGAACCATATGGCCAATTCAATAAATAGAAAAAAGGCATTTGACAAAATTCAACACCCTTCATGATAAAAACAGTCAACAAATCAGAAATAGAAAGGAACTTTCTGAACCTGATAAAGAGCATATACAAAAATCCACACGTAACATCTTACTTAATGGTGAAGGATTGGATGTGTCCCCCTAAGATCAGGAACAGGACAAGGATATCTGCTCTCACCACTTCTATTCAACATCATACAGGAGGCTCTAGTCAGGGCAATTAGACAAGAAAGTAAAATAAAAGTCATCCAGATGGGAAAATAAGTAGTCAGCCTATTTCTATTTGCAGATGACATGAGCTTGTAGATATAGGGAATTCTACGAAATCCACTAAAAGTTATTAGAAGTAATGAATGAATTCAGCAAATTTGCAGGTTACAAGACTAATATACAAAAATCAACTGTACTTCTATGCAGTGACAATAAAAAAGCAGAGATGAAATTAAGAAAATAATTGCATTTACAACAGTATCAAAAAAGATAAAATACTTTGGAATAAATTTTTAAAAGTGCAAAACTTATACTCTGGAAACTACAAAATACTGTTGGAAGATATTAAATATATGGGTGTCTCTCCATTTTCATGGATCAGAAGACTTAACTTTTTTAATGGCAATATTCCCCAAATTGATCTAGAGATTCAGCTATCAACATTCCAACTGGCTTATTTGCAAAAATTGAGAAGCTGATCCTAAATTTCATGTGGAAATACAAAGGATTCAGAATAGTCAAAACAATCATGAAAAAAAAAAAGTTGGAGGACACACTTCTTTTTTTTTTTAATTTATTTTATTTATTTATTGAATCAAAATCAATTATACATATCTTCAGAATAGTCAAAACAATCATGAAAAAAAAAAAGTTGGAGGACACACTTCTTTTTTTTTTAATTTATTTTATTTATTTATTAAATCAAAATCAATTATACATATTTTGGGGGTTAAACATTGAGATATGTTGATTAAATCAATATTACTAGCATATATATTGTTACAAATCGTAATTATTCTTTATGCCCCTTGTCCAATCTCTCCCTTTACCCCATTCCCTCCCCCTCCCCCTTCTAATAGCCCTAGATTTCTTCTCTCCTTCTGAAAGAATAATGGTTACTCTGTTAATTTGTTGCCTAGATGATCTGTCCAATGCTGAGAGATATGATCAGGTCCCCCAATATATCATAGAGCATGTGCTTCTTCTGTCACTCTGAAATGGGTTTTGTGGAGAGACATCCTCTTCTTTTCTTTGTCTCTGCTGGTGACCCTTCTTGTGTGAATGCACTCCAGTGGCTGGCGGACCCTCTGCA